TACTAATAAGCTTATACCAATCTTATACAAAACTATTCTAGGTCACAATGCCAAGACCAACAAAAAGAGGAAAGGAAATTAAAGGAAATTAATTAGCATAAATTAAAACTTGCAAATAGATACTTTTTATACCCAAATTATCCCAACAGACCCTATCTAATTTTTTATTCTATAGGCTGTTTCTCCTTCTGTTGGTTCATCAGGAGGAATTTATGACATGACATCAAACTAGATGATTCATTATGCTATTGTATATATATTTTATATACTTTTACATAAATTTTCTATAAATTGTTTTTTGATGTTTGAGTCATTAATCTATATGCACGCGTAGTAAAGATGGCGGAGTTATAGATAGAATTGTAAATAAGAAAAAGTTTATCAAATAAAGTAATATATCTTTACATGACAGCAATTAAGAGGAAAAAATGTTTATAGAAAAAGAAAAAGACTAAAATAAAAAAAAAGACTAAAAAGTAAATAAAAAATATATCGGAAAATTAGTTAGAAAACCAAAGTACTTAAAGTTTAGAGATGTGTAAGAACTTCATAGACTCAAATAAATATAATCAAAGAACAAGATACATTACAAAATTAATAAACTAAGAGAAAGTAAAGAAAGAATCAAGTTAATGAAAGGAAAAGATCAAGAGTTTTTTACATTTGTTTTGATTATTATTTTTTGCTTTAAATATTATTTGTAAACTTAAGTATTTTCCAGGATTTATTTTTATTATTGACTTTTTGATTATTATTATTAGCAGTTATCATTGTTATTATTACTATAATTAAATATTTATCATTATTATTAAATAATATAGCATTATTTATCCTATATTTATCCATTATTTACCTCTTATTACAATTTACATCTTCATTATTTATCTTATATAAATGTTATTTATCTAATATTACTACTTATCTCCTTCTTTACTTATTATTACTTACCTTATTATCATCAAATTATTTAAATAACATATATTATTTATATTATACCATGTCTAAAGCTATTAGAGGTATTAAAATATCTAAATTTATATTCTAAATCAAGTTAATAATATTCTAATTTTATCTAGCTGTAATACTTATTCTCCTGTGTAAAGTATTTAAATCTCTTATAACTTACTATCATTTCTTTATAACTGATCATTCTTCAGTATTTAAAATAGCAACCATTTCTAGATTAACATTTCTTAGTTTTAATCTCTCAGTTTCTTTATAAATTCATTGTAGATATCTTTATTTAATTATTTTTTTTTAATTACTTTGTTTAAGCATAATAAGTCATGTTAATAAGAAATCTTTGTAAATTCTGCAATAAAACAGTGGTTGATAGCCATAAAGGAATTCTATGTAATTACTGCTCTTCTTGGTTGCACCCTAAATGTAATTATATTAACAAACACACCTATAGCCTTATTGAAAAAGATTCTACTGACTGGTATTGCCGTGACTGCATCAACAAAAATTTGCTATTTTGTTCACTTTCTGATTTTGAGCCGTCTTTAACTTTATCGTCTCAGACTATACCAACCAATAATTTAAAATCTCTAAAATCTCCACCTCACTTCAAAAAATTATTCAATAATATAAACAAAATCTCCAACAAAAGTATTAACTGTAAATATTATGACAATCTTTAACTTAATAAAGTTCTTAATAATAATTGTAATTTATACCTACATCTAAACATTGCTTCGCTCCCTTATCACATTGACAGTCTTCACAGTCTAATAAGCTCTCTTACCACTCTTCCAATAGTAATTGGTATCTCTGAATCAAGACTAAATATTAACGATTCCAGTAAAACTGATGTTAATATAAATGGTTTTACTATTGAGTATAGTCTTACTGAGGCCAAAAAAGGTGGTGCTCTTCTATATTTACGCTCAAACTTAAACTATTTTATTCGTAGTGATCTAATAGTATACTCTCCGAAATACCTGGAACCTATCTTTGTTGAAATCGTCAATCCCCTAAAAAAAAATATTATTGTTGGCACTATATATTGACATCCATCAATGAACTCTAATGAATTCATTACTGATCATTTTAATCCCTTGCTTGAGAGGCTTAGTTTAGAAAATAAACAAGTTGTCCTTATGGGTGATTTCAATATGGACTTGTTAAATTATAATGAATCGAAAGTTATCTCTAGTTATCTTGATACATTATGTTCTTATTCTTTTTTCCCTTCTATAATTCAACCTACACGCAATTTACTAAAACTTTCTAAAAGATCATATTACATCAACTTTTTTAACAATAATCTTTACAATGTAAAAAATACTTGGAAAGGTATAAAAGAAATTATTAATATCAAACCTTCTTCCTTTTCCAGTAAATTATTAATCTCAAATTTAATGGCAATACAATTTCAGACAGCAAAGCTGTATCAAACATATTTAATAATTACTTTGTAAATACTCAACAAACACTGTTAACAAAAATTGTTTCACCTAAATTTAATTTTTCAGACTAATTAAATAACCCAAATACTAACTCCTTTTTTATAGATCCAGTCACTGAAAATGAAGAATCAAATCTTATAAAAAGTTTACAAAGTAAAAAAAGTTTAGGTATCAATAGTATTCCCACGTTTCTTCTCAAACTTGTTTCCCATATCATCTCAAAGCCTCTCTGTAAAATGATAAAAATCTCTTTTGAAAATGGACTTTTTCCAGATGTCTTTAAAATAGCTAAAGTTATTCCACTTTATAAAAAAGGCTCTAGAACTGATCACACTAACTATTGCCCAATTTCGCTACTGTCAAACATCAGTAAAATATTTAAAAAAGCTATGCGCAACAGACTTTCCAACTTTTTAGATAAATATCAATGTCTTTACAAACACCAATATGGGTCTCAAAGCAAGCATTCCACAACTCATGCACTTATTATCAGAAAAGCTCTTGACAATAAGCTTTTTGATTGTGGTGTGTTTGTTGATCTACAGAAAGCATTTGACACTGATGATCATTCTATTCTTCTAAGTAAACTGGAATACTATGGTATTAGAGGAATTTCTCTCCAATGGTTTGCCTCATATCTTTATAATAGGTTTCAATTTGTATCTATTAACGGTAACACATCTTCTTTAGTAAAATGCACTACAGGTGTACCTCAAGGCTCTGTATTAGGACCATTGCTTTTTTTTGTTTTCATTAATGACCTTAATTTATCATTAAAATATACAACTTCCTACCATTTTTCTGATGACACTAACTTACTTTTAATTAACAAATCATTAAAAAAAATAAACAAATATATTAATCATGATCTATCTAATCTAATTCAATGGCTTCGATCTAACAAACTGTCTCTGAATACTAGTAAAACTGAAACTATCATCTTTAAATCAAAACAATCTAAAATCAGTAAACACCTAAATTTTAGGCTGAGTGGTCAAAAATCAATCCAGTTATGTACCTAAAGTATCTTGGAATCAAAATTGACTTAAATTTAACTTTTTCTCCACATCTTAAGGACTTGTCAATAAAACTATGTAGATCGAATGGGATGTTAGCTAAAATTCGTCATTATGTCAATCTTGAAACTCTTATCAATATATACCATGCCATTTTTGGATCAAATCTTAGGTATGCGTGTCAAGTTTGGGGACAAATCCGCACCCAAGAAATTTAAAGATTATCCAACTTACAAAACAAAGCATTAAAAATAATATATTTTCAGCATTATCAATCTCCGATCATCTTTATTTTTTATCCAAAATACTCAAAATTGATGATCTGGTTCAACTATTAAATTGCCATTTTGTCTTTAATTATAAACAAAAATGTCTACCCAGCACATTTACAAACTTTTTTACTGTTAGAGAAAGCTGTCGCTATCATCTACGATCTGCTAATAGCTATAATCTTCATGTACCAAATCATACTTCTGTAAAATATGGTCTAAAATCCATAAAATACCAAAGTGTAAAATCATGGAACAGTCTACCTTTACCATTAAAATCAATTGACTCAATTACTAATTTCAAAAACTGTCTTTTTAACTATTTTTTAGCAAGATATTATACCTGAAGCCCCTGAAATATGTTGTTATGCTTTTATTATTACTACTCTCTTGATACCTACTAGTTTTATTATTAACTTTTTGTTCTCATATTTTTATTGTTATTATTTGTATTGATATTAATAATATTCTTCTATCTTTATTAGTAAATTGTTATTTTTATTTATAACATAATAAGTATTATTGCTTTTTTTAATTTTTTCTTAAGTTTATTTACTACTTATACTATGTAATTGTTATTATCACTATTATTGCTATTATCTAATATTGATTGTATAATATCTTTATTATTATTATTGTTAGTATTGTTACTAATAATCCTTTTGATCGTCATCTTATTATTATTGTTAATATTATTTCTATAATTATTATCAATGCAATTATCATTGTTATTATGATCACTTTTATTGTAATGTTGCAGGTTTTTACTTTAGATTAGTACTTGTACTATATGTATAAGTCCTTAAAATTTTACAACTTATTTCAGAATATTGAATTGAGCTAACTTCCAGATATGGAGCAAACTCCAAACATCTATGTTTTATACTATGCCAAATAAGAATTCTTTCCAGAAATTCCGACGATTTTTGGTACACTTGTCCCAAACGTAAGAGCAACAAGATGATAAAATATTTTTTTTACTTCAATTAAGTTAATGTTAATCCATAAACTTTAAATTTCATACAATAATTTTTTAGCGTTCAAATTATGACCATAGAAATTTTAGACCCCCCTCAAAAAAAAAAAAAAAATTCTTAGAAAATGTAAAATGTTTACGATTTTTAAAGATTTAGTTTTTGTTCTTTTTAAATGATTATGTAAATTTTTTTTGGCCGTTTTAATTTAAACAAAATGTTTAATCCAACTTAAAATTAAAAAAAGATCAGATAAATTTTTAGAGGTTAAATCTACACAAACGCTATTAATACCGAAGCTTGATGGTGACGAAGAAATAAAAACAAAGATTTAAAATATGGAACATTTATAAAATTTTCTATTTAATTACATTTCTATATAAATATATATAAATATAGAAAGCTAGATTCAATATCTACAAAATAGCACTTATTTTTTCTAAATTATTTTTAGAAAATAAATTATAACCGATAATATATAACACAGGAAGTTCCAACTTCAATTATATGATGACAAAACACTGTCTTTTCTAATAAATTTAATAAGAACCTGCGTTATTTGAAGAAAGAAAAATATTTTATCTTTAACTTCTACTTCATGTTTGGGTTAGTCTTATTATCGAGATATCGAAGAGCACGATGAGTATTTACTATCCGTTTTTTTGTTAAGATATCAGGATCAAATGTTTTTATTGCAGGATTGATATAAGAATAGTTTTCTTTATTATTGCAATTGATATCACTAAGCTGATAACTTTTAATAGTTTTCTCCACACTAAAAAATAAATTTGAACGTTTTATTGTTTAAAAGATTTTGATATTTATTTCATTTTTTATAATAGAACTAGAAAGAAAATAACCAACATGGAAAGCTTTTCATCTGCAATACGTTCTCTTTCTTGTAGATTTTGTTCCCGCCCTATAACAACAAAAGAACTTAAAATTCTCCTTACGAAAAACTTTCATCTAATATCAATATTTTCAGGCAACAATTGATGATTTTTTGTTGTTTAAAGCCGCATAAAAATATATAATACATATATATGATATATATATCTCAATACGTTAAATTTATATTTTAAATAAATTTAAAATTTTTAAGTTAAATTAATAATAACGGTTTATTGATTACAGAAACCAATTGTTTATGCCAAAAATGTAAAAGAAATTTCTCAAGGTCCACACAAAAAATCTTGTATTTTAGGAAAGTGTCCAGATTTTCTTGTTAAGAAACAAGCTGATTTTTACTATGTTGATGCAGTTAAAAAATAATACTCAAAAAATTTCATCAAAAATCTTTGTGTTAAAATTTCAAAAAATAAAAATGAGATGGAAAAAAAATCCAAAAACTCCTCAAAATAAATAACTAAAACATTAGAAAGAAAAAAAAATTAAATAGAGTAATGATAGTAATTATTAAAAAATATAAACAAAAGAAATTCAAATTATTAATTTGTTTAAAAAAACTGAAAAAATTTTGCATATTCGTGAAAAAATCCACGATGGATCGACAAACTCAAAAGAGTTGTAATACCTACTGTTGAAAGGGTTATAAATAGATATAAAAAGTCCTAATCCATCGAACAAGCTAAAGGAAATTCTTTCACTTACTAAAAAAATTGACAACTTAATGTTTCCAAAACATCGCAAAGAGAAATAAAGAAAGCAATTAAAATGGAGTTTAATTTTTTTTTTCAAGAACATTACAAATTTAATTTATTTGAAATAATAATATTAGTTAATGATTTTTTTTTTATCAAAGCACAGTAAACATGAGTTTGGTTACTTGTTTACAAGATTTAGAGACATCATCAACATCATCATGTTGTATTTCTTGAAATCATCAAGAAATACAACAGATCATTTGCAATTTTAAAGGAGTATAAAATTTATAGAGTTATCTACTGATTACCGCTGTACATTTTGGGTCAAAAACTCTGATGGCTTGACCTGAGGAAATGGTTAGCATTGGGTGAAAGAACATTCATCCCTGGTACCTGGGAACCATATTTTGAAATCAAACTACTTCGTCCGCAAGAATAAATTCAATTTAAAATTTCTCTTTATTTTTTTTCCAAATAAAATGACAGCTTACAAATTTTTTTTGCATTTTTACAGTAACTTTTAATTTTTTGGTTAGTGAATGTGAAATAGTAATAAATATGATGTTTTTACAAAATAACTATTTTTTACTCAAATAATAAAGTTGTTTATTATTCTTTTATAAAAATTTTTCAGGAATTTGAATATTGCAACTCTTTTGCTAATAAAACAATTTTTTTTCGAGAAACAGCCTTGCTATCATTTTAGTTAAAGTTTGCTAAACAGAAGTTTGATACAAAAACACTTAAAATGCCTAATCAGGCTAAGAATCATGAGGAATGCAGGAAAACTGTTTGTTGCCTGTGTTTCCACAAATGTACAAATCAACTGACACAATTTCAAATTCAAAGGTTGTCAACAATTTACAATCAGCCTTCGGAAACATCTGATATCAGGATTCCACTTGGACTTTGTGAAGCTTGTAGGACAATTCTAAGAAGAAGAGATGCAGGGAAAGATCCACAACTTGAACAATTGGATCACTCAAAGCTAAATATCATGATTTCAAATCATCAGGAAGTGATCATAGGGAGGCAAAGGTGTATGGCAATCTTGTTCATGACCCCATTCTGACAGGATCTGATGACAGACATATCATAAACATTCATATCATAAACATTCTTTTTTTGGTGTAACCAACCATTTGTTCAAGGCTATGAAAGACTTGTGGCCAAAGGCAGAAGAATGGCCTGCTAAACTGCATATTCACCAAGAATCTTACCATGGAGGGCAGTTTGCAGGCAATGCCTGCAGAAAACTTTTGAACAATGTGGACCTTTTACAGCAGCTTATTGAAGCAAATGCTGCATTTCAAGTTGTGGAAATTGCAAACATACTGAAGAAATTCAATGATGCTGTCAAGGCTTGCTTTGGTCAAGAGCTTGATCCCAATTATGCTGAAAAAATTGACAACTTCAAAAGGGCCTATCTTTCTCTTCCTCAAGGAAGTGTCACACCCAAGGTTCATACAGTGTTTTGCAGGAATTTCCTGCATGGTAAAAAACTCTTATTTATACTTATTAGCTCTTATTTACTCTTATTACTTATATTAGAATTTTCAGTGAACAGGCCCTTGAATCAACTCATCAACACTTCAACAACCATTGGCAGAGATATGAGGTCTTCATCACATCCTTAGTATGCAAACAGATTGAAAAGCTGCATAGTGGATTACAATAGCAAGCATTTGTGATTGTTTAATGTCGTAGACTCTATAGTGAATCAAGAATACCTTTTTACCATTTTTGAAGAATGAGTGTTTACTTTTTTTGTTAATTTTGAGGAGATATTATAGAAAGTTGTTATTTTCTGTTCAATTTAGTTTGTATTTATTTAGAAAAAAATGTTTATACTGTAGAAATGCAAAAAAATCTTGTAAGCTGTCATTTCATTTTGAAAAAAAATAAAGAGAAATTTCAAATTGAATTTATTCTTGCAGATGAAATAGTTTGATTTTAAAATTTGGTTCCCAGGTACCAGGGATGAATGTACTTTCACCCAATGCTAACCATTTTCTCAGGTCAAGCCATCAGAGTTTTTGACCCAAAATGTACAACGATGTGATATTATTACTTATAAATTTCTACCAAAGACTACCATTATGCCCACCTTTAGCCCATCAGGGGCTATTCTTGGAAAATAATTTGGGCAGCAGTACCCCTTGCCCATGCATGTCGTAAAAATACATCGATGGAATTATTGTTGAGAAAAAGCACTTTTCCGCAAAAAAAACACAACAACATTTGCTTATAAAAAATCCTTAATTTCTGAATTTGGGCGGCACCCAAAACTTGCCTGTTCAACTCTGTCAATAAGGGTCTAGAATAGCCCCTTATCAACATATAAAACTAATTAATGTCATAAAAATCTATTACTTAATCTCCAAATAAATCACCGAAAATTAATTAATAAAGCTCTAAAAACTAATTAATACCTCCAAAAATTATTTAATAAACTTTCGAAAATTAAAGATATAGATTTATTACCCATAGTGACTCTCTACAATTATACAGTTAAATCAATAAATCCAATAACATTGTTGTGAAACAATGTCATTTGCATATCATCAGAGGTTAGCATTACCAAGTGAATATAATCATATACATTCAAATATATATTCACATTACCACCTGTATCTCCATTTATATATTCACATTACCACCTGAATCTGCCTATTATCTATTATCTATATTCTTGATTGAAAACATTGTAATACGTTTAGCCCATAAATAATTCATTCTTAGTTTTGACTATTTCTTGTTTTTTTAATTAAAAAATTTTAGTATTTTAATTTTTTTTAATTAAAAGGTTTTAGTATTTTAAGCTAAAATACATATTTGTTACTCAATTTATCTTTAATAAGGTTTTCTATGTTTTCCTTTTCTGGGTCTATGTTATTATTTCCAGGATTATATACATTTAATATTGCCAGGGTTACACACATTTAATATTGCCAGGGTTACGCACATTTAATATGTTAAGATGAATGTTATTTATTTATGGATTTTTATAATATTATTTTATGGTTTTTTATTTCTACCTAAGTTTCACCTGTTTTATCCTTATTTTAGTATTTATGTTATATTTCTACATTACTTTTATGACCATTATGTTTTACCATTACTTGCATTGCTACTTTTTATATAATATTTATACTAAATTACTACTTATATTACTACTTATACTACATTTACTATATATATTACATTTACAAATATACCATATATATTATACATGTACTATATATATCATATATTGTACATATACTATACATTACCTATATATATATATATATATATATATATATATATATATATATATATATATATATATATATATATATATATATATATATATATATATATATATATATATATATATATCACATATTTATAACAGATATACTATATAATACAATATATCATAATACACATGTACTATATATCATATACTATACATATACTAATATAAATATACTATATATATCATATATTATATACTAATAATATTACATTATATAATATTTATATTACATTTATATTATACTATCTATATTAACATTTTTATTTATAATAATTTTCAATTATAGTAAATATAAATAGTAATATATATTACTATTTTTATTTACTATAATTTTCTTTATGCCTTGATTTTTTTAAGTGAGAGAACTTTGAGTGCTTGACTTGACTTTATGTCATTTTTCTGTATGTAAGTTTGTATGTATTGGATTGGGGAATAAGTTTATTAAGTTTTTTTCAAAGAGGATTATTTAAAGGATTTAATTCTTGTTGATCAAAGTGTTTGTATTCATTAGACAGTGTCTTTTCTGCTCTACAGAACTGTGTTATTTTTTTTTTTATAACATGTTTATTTTAGTCAATATGAAACAAAGAAAGGAGTGGGTGACACCAGGAGACACGCTGATGCAGAGAGTCAAGCAAGATCTCCACCCAAAAAAGACCATGAACTGCATTTGGTGGGACTGCATGATACACTGGGAAATGCTTGTAAGGAACGCAACGGTCAACAAGGAGCTCTACATTGCCCAACTACACCGCATAAATGAGGCTATGTGACTGAAAAGATCTGACCGACAAGGCCAAGTCATCTTGCTCCACAATAATGCCAAACCATGTTGTGCAAGTCGTCAAAACTACACTCCAAGAGCTCAAATGGTAGGTTCTTCAACATCCACCGTACTCTCCGAACCTTGCGCCAAGAGATTATCACCTTTTCAACTTTTTGTCGAATCAAATGAGGGGTATTAACATTAACGGTGAAGAGAAAACTGGCTCAATAACTTACTTGACACCAGAC